GGAATAACGGGTGCTCTGCTTCTCCTGCACTTAAATTTCAACTCGTAAAGTCTGATTTTGGCTAGAACTTGCTGTCCCCCTGTTCTTGAAGTGAGACGTTAATTTACGGCAACTCCCCCGTACGAAAGATGCCACCCTCCCTCGGCGCGCGCCCAGCACGCAGCCGCAGCTCTCCGAAAGGCCCCTGCGACCCCCCGCGCCCAGCTCCCGCGGAAACGACACAGCCCTCTACCACCACGGCACTCGCGCTTGCTTTCCAGCATCTCGTCTTACTGCGTTTGTCAGCCTGTACGTCAGAGACAAAGAAGAATTAGAAAATAATCCCTGCAGCGCTGAAAGCATGTGGATGCGGCAAGGGAGTGATTAACGCGGCTCTATCTGGCGTGTAATTCTCTAGTTTGAAATATAAGAAACAATTCCCGCACATGCTTAATTCTTCAGTACGGCTGATTTTGCTTTAAAGGGCTTCCAGATAATTTGTTTAAAAATCTGTGGTTAATCATAAACTCAGCTATGTTGATGCCTGACACTCTCGTTTCTTTTATCTTTACTTCCCTGAACATTTAAAAGAAAGGAAAAAAAAAAGGAAAAAAAAGGAAAAAAAAGAAAGTCAAAAAAGTCCTACAAATGTGGTCACAGTGCGTAAAAGACAACGCCATGCCTTACGTTCTCTGCGTTCAACAAGATCTTCTACACATACAGCTGAGACCCTCATGGAAAATAACACCATAACACCTTTGTCCAAGAAAAAACTTCAGAGAATTTGGTACCTAAACCAGGAACGATCAGTTCAGAGCTGTATCTAATATTTTGCTTTGCAGGGTGGAATTCCAGTTCGCCCTCCACACCAGCAGATCCAGTCCCTTCCGCACAGAACCCCACTTGTTACTGGGATCCCAACTTCCCCCACGCGTACGCGAGTTTTTCGCTACAGTCATCTCTCCCTCTCTCCCAACCGCACAGTCATACGTGAGTCACAAATACAAAGCTTTTATAAATCGTCGATAAATCAGTCGACTAAAGAAAACCAAATCTTTTACTATTCCGCTTCCATCTGACCCTGGCGAGCGGTGCTGACCGACGGCGCAGCTCAGCTGCCGTGTACCCGGACAAGGCAATAAGGACCATGCTAACGCGCGTGTTCTAGGGACACCCCAAGTCCGTTACGCTTCAAAATACGCATATTTCCGTACATCAATACACAGCCTTCGTTTCATATAATATCTATGGTTTTGAGGCACAATTTCCCAGCTGCAGATCTGTCCCTCTCCTCCTCACAGACACCGGTGTCCAGAACCTACAGTACTGCTGCATCGGAAACCGCAAAACTCTGCCAAGAAGGATTTAGCGTAAAAAGCGACTGCGGAAAACGACTAAGAGAGAAGAATGGAACTGATAATGAACTAAGAAAGTACGAACAAGAGGCATGAGAACTAAGAAGGCGTTTTATCACAATCTCAGGGTTTTTTTCAAATCCAGAAGAAAAGTACAAGCATCGCATGGCATTGTAGGAGAAGCTTAACAACACCCAGTGCACTGGCAGCACCAGTAAGATGAGCCATTTTCTGTGCCACACCTCAGTAAATACCACAACTGCTCCTTACAGAGGATGCTGAGATGCTAAACATCGCTCACCAGCAAGAACGACAGAGAAGCTGGTACTCTTTTTACAGAGTAAATTCAAAAATAAATAGGGAAAAAAAATCATTAAAAGATAACGTCTGACTCACACAGTGTAGCTTCCAAAACGCATTTTTCCTTTTATGCTGCATGAGCTGATAAGACCGAGTTCGCACACGTGTGAAAGCACAGGTGAGGCAGAGTTAAGCCACTCCCATTTCTAGAAGCAAATACATCCAATTTTATTACAAGTATGTTCAGGATAAACAAATACTTTCAAAATAATTCTCCTATTTTTGCCAATTGGTACTTTTCCACAAGGAAACAGGTCCAGAACTCTGCGGTTATCTGTCAGCAACACAGCTAGAGAACCCGCGCGCGCCAGGTGGACGGAGGAAGCTGTTGGTGCAACTTCTGCTCCCATTTACGGAGATGCAATTCCCATCGTCTTTAGGGATGATGAGAGTTGTACCACCATAATTAGGCAGAAAATGTTCTTGGAGGTGTCTACTGAAACAGAAAAACAGCTTAAATTAAGCCCTGACCTACCTCTTACAAAACATCACAATACCCAGGGAAAGGCTGACTTCACATGCTTAAAGTTGTCTAACAATTAAGAGATTCTATCTTTACTTTAGCAAGAGTTTCCACATGACTTGACTGCTGTCTCAAGTAGAATTAATATAAATCTGGCATTTGATCGGCTCATTCTGTCAGTTCCATCCTCAGTATTCTCAGCCTGTTTTGCATGTGGCCAGTTTGAACTCCCCAGAAAAGAAAACTGAAAATCCTTTTGCCAGCAGAGCCACGGGACGTGCGCACGAACCTCCTGAGCTGAGCTACAGTGAAAGTCCGGGATATCTACGCTATGAGAACACACCTGCTTAATGTTTTTGTGTACAACAGAGAAGGATCCACAAGTTTCGTAACTGAAGAGTGATCCAGAGTACGTACCGAGGTACCCAGACATTTGAACCCAGCACATGCACTAGAATGCATTGGATTTGAATAATTTCTTTTTAATTTTTAAAAAGTGCAGTTGACCTGAAATGGAAAAGAACTGTCTTTATGTTCACTGTAAACTTGTCAAAAGGAATCTGCTCTTTAAAAACTGTGCTAAAATAGTCAATTTGTACAACAGAGCACTAGATGAAGCTACCATAAATTCCTCTTCACCAATTATTACTCTATTGTGTCAGTTATAGTACTGCATATACGTAGAAGAAGCAAACCGGTGGTAGCTACTATTAGTGAGTACAACAAACCAAGTGAATAATTTGAGTTCAATGTTTCCATGAAGTAGCAATAACATTTAAACCACAGGACAGTTAGAATTCAGTACTTTGAAGTGCATAAGAGTCACACTGTTGATCATCAGCAGTATGGAGAAAGGGTATTATAAAGTCAGCAGTAATGGTCGGAAAGAACATGGCAACACGACAGATTAAAGGTTATCCAACATGGCAAGTCTGCAGCTCCTTCCACAGTTGAGGGGTTTGTCGGTATCGCACACGAAGTGTCATCCCAGCCAGCAGTAACCGGTTCAGCCTCCCGGCTCGGTACGCACCAAACAAGGGTATTGCAGAGAAAACAGGATCTTCCTTCCATCAGTAGTTCTAGAGTAACGGACCACGTTTTAGACACCGCCAGGGTGAAGGAATGCATGGGAGCAACATCCAGCCTCTACGCTCGGTGATTTCCACCGCTGCCGGGAGCATGAATTCACTTGCCATTGTTCCAGTCTTTACAACCTCCAGAGACAGAGTTCTGACATTATCCCACGCTGTAAACATCTAATTCTTCCTCTTCTAAGCATATCCCGCGTCCAGGATTGCACAAAGTAATTCATAAGGATTCTGTGAAACTCAACAAGTTCACAAAGCAGCTGTCCCTAAGTGAACTTTGTTCTCTGTTTCTCCTACAGCCCATTGCTATTCCTGTGGCTGAGTGGTGGTTTTGAAAGCTCTACAACTGTTGAGCGAGATTTATTGAGAAACTTTGGAGCCCGACGCAGCAACCTCTGTGCCTCAGTGAAAGCTTCTGTCAGCTCTTTTTTCCACTGAACAAATTCTGGGTCACTCTGAAAGAGATACAGAAGTAGTTTGGCACTTCATAGTAAACTGCCAATAGCGTCTTCTCTCTCAGACAGCACTTTTAAGCAACTTATTTTAATTTTCCGAAGGAATAAGTAACTTTGGATATCGAAAATGTGCAGCCCTTTGCTTCTCCATCACCCTGCCGAAGCCAGGCAAGTCAGCAGCAACTACAGGCGGTCAAGATGTTTTGAGGACTTGTGTACTTCCTCCCTCGCCAACACATCGCTACCAGGAACTAACCACAGGGAGACATGGACCAACAAGGCCTCCGAAGCCCACGTGGCTTGAGAAGGTTTGAAGGCTGTAGCTACTTATCAAACTGAACTCATTTTGGCCCAAACACCATTGAAATCCACGACAGAAACTGGCATAGCTGCAGGTTTCCTGCATTCCAAAGGCAAGAGTGATAACAACTTCCCAGTTTTGCCTAGGTTGAGCTTTGCTTCGTAAAGCACGCTTCGTCAACACATAATGGGAGGACCTGAAAAACTTTTCAATCGTTTCATCATATGCAAAACAATCTGATTAACAGTTATTGAAAAACAAGCGTCTCACCTCACACTGTAGGACAAACTGTTTTCCGCCTTTAATTCTCAGTAAGATGCACTTCTTATCTTTAATTTGCGTTTCTTCAACAGATACTATTTGTTCCATCGTCAGCAGGTTTTGCTGCAGCATTTGCAAAAATAAAGCAGAGGGATGATTCAAAAGAAATCTGTTGCCCACCAAACCAAGCCACTATCTAATTTTTCTGGACTACCCACATAAATCAAGTTATGAACATCACAGTCATGACACAAACATTTCTTCATTTCTGAAGATTGGGTCATCAACTAAAGATAGATTATAAGGTAAGAGAGAGATTTAGCAAGGGGCTTGGTTGCTTCAACAGAGACAATGAAATATAAGCTAAGAAAGCCAGTAATGACAGCATGAAATAAGAATCTACAAATAGGTGTGCCTACAAACAAAATATTCGCTATTTTCCCTCAAGAGAGTCGCATATAATTTTATTTTTTTTCTAAGTATTACTGCTGTCAAAAAAAAAAAAAGGACAATCTTACTGACTATTTCAAAGAGCTGAAAGGGACTATTTAAGCACTATACACTTACAAAGGAGCAAATATTTACAACAGTCTGCAGAAAAGCTTTCCCTATAGACTGGAAGAGGAGAATAATGTTTCGGAATTCCAAAACCTTACTTAACTAAATATACAAATGGTCCGCCTACCACATGATCACAGCTGGACTCAACTAAAGTTACTATAGCATTTTCTTTGCGATAAAATGCTATAGCATCTATGACCTTACCAGTTTATGTTTTTTTGTATAAATAGTCCAGAAGTCCTAAACGAAAAACGACACCATGAACTACCAAATTCCTTTACAAACATAACAAAACAAAGTAAACAGGTTTCTCAAGACTTTATGTTTCCTCAGTGCAGTGTAGCTACCCATTAACTAAAGCGATACTCAGGAGAAGTTACTCAAATCCACTGGTCATTTACTCAGACAAAACTCTACTTCCACGGGGGGTACGCCTGAGTCCGAGCTGCCAGACTTCCCTCCAAATCCACCTGCCTTTCCCGCCCTCGGAAGCTGCCGCTCTCCAGAGTAACCCCACTCACCCGTGACTCGCCTTCTCCTCGCCATTCAAGTCGGTTTGGGAAGAGGTAAAAGTAACGCCGTTGCCACTGAGTCAAGAACGGGTTCCCCAATTTCAGCATGTATCCATGCATAATGCAGTCCTTCCCAAGCGCGTAATCTAGAAGAAGAGGAAACATGAGGATGCAAAACAAGGTACCGCCTAAAAGCATTCTGCAGACGTGCCACGTTGAGGAAGGACGGAGTCCTGAACACGGAGTGACTCGAGGTGCCCCCCCCGGCTTGCAACGGTGCTTCTGTGTGCCCAGGCACACCCACAGCCCATTCTGCCTTAATTCCACGAGCTGATGTGGCTGCAGTGGAGTAACCAAGAACAGAATTTGGTTCTTAAAGAAGTATCTCATAAGCTATTGAAAGAACTGTACATTGCTACCCAAAGCTCAGAGTTTGCCATGCACCATCCTCGTGCAAACAAGTGAAGTTTGCTGCAGAGAACCTCCCGTTTTCTTTCCCGGCTCCTCGCTCATGAAATCAAATCCCACATACTCTTTTTCTGAGCATACACCATAAACAAAAACGATGAAAGGCTGTACAGGATAATCTTTAAAAGAGAGTACAAAAGATTTTCCAAAACATTATGGCATCATACAGCATTTCAAAACATTAAGAAATGTCTTAAGAAACACGATACTGACTAAATGAATTTGAACAATTACTGATGAATGACAGTAATATGAGAGTCTGTTGTGTGAAACTTCGAACACTTGAATTACAATCTAGCAGCAAAAGATGGAGAGAAGTGTATTTGACAGATTACCTTCCTCGTGGCCAAGCTGCTTATTTTTAGCCCTTTTTCTGGCCTCAATTTTATCTGTGTCTGCATTTACTGCGTCATAAACAGTTTCTGCTACTTCTTGCTGCCAACGCTCCGATATTACCAGAGGGAAGTTCTTATATAATTCCTGGTCACTGTCAAGCAACTTGCAAGAGAAAAACAAGACAAAACCCCAACATTTTAATAACTTTTACTATTCTTATCCCCAATACTTAATAGTTACCCATATAACAGCATTAGTTTAAAAGACGTACGTAACTCTAATCTTACCAGAACAAACGGGTGCAAACAAGAGAAAACACAGACAGTAATTTAAGCAAAGATACTCATTTATATACAGAGAACAGGTGACCTGCTCAAAACTCCTTTAGTTTAATAGCTCTAAAAGCCATACTCAACATTGTCCCATAATGTTCTCTAGACTTTCCATTTAAGTAATTACTTAAATGTAAGCAGCGGTATTCTTAACTTTGTTGCATAATCAATGTTAACAAAATGTCTAATTGCATTGAGCACTTTCTCAGCACAAAAATTCTACGAATAAACAGATACCTTTTACACAAAAATGCTTCCACAGCTTAATTTTACATTCTTAATAATTAACCTTCAAAATTCAGCAGTGCATGCTGCAGACCTCAATTTTCCTGTCATATAGATTCTTTTCTCCCCAGATCCTTAACTACAGTACTTAAATTGAACTGCAGTGAAGGAAACTAAAATGCCTGATCTTCAGGGAGGACTGTTTGTTGCTTGACACAGCCATGTCCTGGGTTTGGCCACAAGGCCCTTTGATGCCATACAAAAAGAGGTCAATATTTTCCCCATAAAATTATTAAAGGTGATCAATGTTTTCCCTATAAAATTTTTAAAGGTTTTCATTTGGGGATCGGCTTAAACTCTCCATGGCTACTCCTCAGCTGCCTCAGTTTCTGTCTGTCTATCAGCAGAGAAACTAGACCTTTCCTTCCGAGAGCAAGCCAGAGGCATCCTCTGCCGGGTTAAGAGCGCAGTAAGGGCACGAGCCCACGCTGCCGGCCCCGCAGAGCACCAGCAAGGCAGATCCCACCCAAAGGGCACGCAGGCACTCCGCTCTGCAGGAGCGGCATAGGAAAGCCTTGCTCAATTCTCCTTCTGCAGCCAGGCCAGATGCTCCCAGAGCAGATGCTCTTCTCCCTTCCAGAGGTCCACAGCCTTATCACAGCAGGAAAATACAGGCTGGATCTGAAGCCAGAAGACTTCTCTGCAGTTCTGCTAAGCGGCTTACAGGGCCTCCTTACGGCACCCGAGTGAGAGGGGAAAGCCACGGGCATCCGCTGTTGGCTTTCCAGTTTGTAACCCCAAAGAACACGTGTTCTGCTCGGTGTCACAGGACACTCTGCAGTATAAATATAATCCGCAGGGGCAACGGAGGGGAGCAAGGCACTCAAAGCTGGCATCCTCATGGGCAGAGACGGCTCCTGACACCTTAATGGAAGCTCCGACTGCAGCTGACTCAGAGGCACGAATTATTCAGCCCCTTCTAAAAGACTGTGACATCCCAGTGAAAGTGCAGAGCAAAGCTGTACATGATATCCCTCACTGACTCATGACTGGGAATAAATTTATCTTATAGGCAGCCTGAACAAAGATTACGTGCAGGTGATCTGGCTATACGATTTAGAGGCCTTGCTGAGAATATCTGATCCCCTCAATAAATAAAAAGACCACCTGTTTCTCCTTGAAAAATGTCCCTCCGAATTCTGGCATTCCAGAACCGCAGGTAACTGGAATCCTGTTAGACTAACACCGATGCTGAAGACCTGGAGTTTTCTGGGATAAGGAACATCTTGGGTTCTCTGCATTTCTCTTTAAACACGTAAAATCTTTTCTGTGCCAACTTCTGCAATTACAGCAGGTGACACTGACAGACAAGTTCCTTTTTAGGCACAGTGAGTACTTAACATGTTTTGTTGCTTATAAAGTTTAGAGCAATTAGTTTCTCTCCTGACTCACTTCTGTAGTAACAAGAATACAGTTTGATCTACTGAAGAAATGTATGATAAAAATTTGGTGGTATGATAAAACTCTGGTGCTTTGAGACAGTAGGTGAATCGGTGAAGAGGAGGGACCCAAGCCAAGCCCCGCCTCACCTCCTGCCTCAGAGCACCAGGGAGGCTTCAGCAGAGGGGGTGAACACACAGGGTACATCACAGCGCCCCCACGCCAGGCAGAAACAGGCCAGCCGCTTCCACTTCTCATTTTTTCCTTCACATTGTTTTCATTAGACTGTGGATAATACCAGACCCTGAAAGTTTCTTTTATCACTTTTCTAACTTACACAGTCGCTGAGACTGAAGGAAGTTGCGCTTCCACCGCACTCTCTGACCATGAGGTAACTATTAAATTAAGGTTTAGTTCACTTTTTTAGTTCACCACAAACAAATCACAGTTTTTAAAACTACAAACCATTAAGTATTCTTGAAAATCTGAGGACCGCCCAAAAGTTGTCTGATCATTTGAAATATTTGCTTTATCTTATAAATCTTTTGATAGGAAAGTAGATTTCAGTCAATTGAAAAAATAAAACATAAGGACTTGGCAAGCAACAGCACACCAGCCAACCAGCCCAAGCAACCTCTTTCGTAACAGCACGGATTAAGTTTCCAAGAAAGCAATTCCTTGCACAGTCAGTAGCCCCTGAAGCGAAGGAATGGCGTGTACACAGGCGAAGTGAAGCGCAGCACTCCCGGGGCCATCCTCTACCAATCCTTTAAAGTTGTGTACCTTAATGCCTTTAGTGTCCTCTTCATCAAACGACCCAATATCAAAAGCATCTGCTGCATTTACTTCTCCCCGGGGAGGAATCAGTGGTGGAGGGTACTAGAAATTAAAAGCGGCGTAATTAAAGACAAATTAATGGACATTATTTAAATCCATTCTATAGATATATACAGCCTTTTTATGTTTTGCACAAATTCCACATGACTGTGCAAAAGTATGTGCCTTGAAACTAAACTTCTGTGCAAAGACGTTCTCCACTCCCTTATTAAACAGTCCCCCAAAAATTCGGGGAAAAAACCCTACAGCTTAGAGACAGCTACACAGAAGAAACCATGAACTAATTTGACCCTGAAAAAGTAGTAACTCAGTGGTACTGATCAGGAAGACTTTGTAGTAATGAATATACAGTGGTTTTCATGAATAATCCTCCACATAGTCATGCAAATGAGTACGTGTGCTGGGGACTGGAACCCTGAAGTTTTCTGTCCGTTACCTGTTTAGACTTATTTTCCTTTTACTGCTTTACCAGAGAGCCAAGGTTACTATCTTAATCCTTTACCTTCTGTAAGTAGACTTGCTGCCAATCAATGCCTTTGAAGAAAGGATGTTCTTTTACTTCTTGTGCACTGCAAAATAAAAGTAACTGAAGTCAACAAAATGAAGGGGCTTTTCAAATGTATTTGAGACATACAAAGCCTTCAAAGGTCACATTTCTATCACTTGAAAACATCAGTAAAATGCTCTTTTTTTCAAGGGGGGGGGCGGAATAGTCTTCCTAAGCAAACAACAGAAGAGAAGCCTTTCATGTGGAAACACTGGAAATAGCACTGTAGGTCTGGCAAGCAATCGCTCCTGCTTTGCTGAGGTATTCCATCATTTCAAACAACAAACCCTACTCGCCCGGTGTCAGATGCCATACACTACTCGGATGTAACAAGCTTACTCCACTCCATTTGGTAATATATATATGTTATGGCAAACTAAGCAACTACTCTTGACAGGCCCAAGGCTGAAAAGCAACCTCAGGTCATTATCATAGAAGGTTCCGTGATAAAAAACCCTCTGAATCTCTCACTGGAATTAGAGCCAGCCCCAGTCTCAGGTGTGACTATCAGTTAACTGTTACCACACATTGTCAACGGTTTCTCAAGAGTTATTTACTCCTCTCACAGTTCTCCTAGTCCCACAGGAGGCACACGCTGGCTTTTTAAATAGGTGCTAACAACAATTTCCATTAACAGCTATAAGCAAGGTAAGCCTGGCAGGAGCAAGTAGTGTTTTGTAGTCAATAAACAATAAATGCGCTTTTCTGTAGAACCATGAACTGACACAGGTACATCCGGCAAGAGAGGCAGCCCGAAAAGAAGCAAATATTCACAGCTTTCTGTGCTTGGTGGGTTTTGGGTTGGGGTTTTTTGTGTGTGCCGTTACAGCTACAAAACAAGCAATGAATTTTAGCTATCAATATGTCTGAATCAAGGAATATGACTTCATGCCAAAACAGATCAGGCAAAAACATAACACCACCCCAGGGATGAAAAGTATGAACACCATCCAATGTAAGCGTGACTGCAGAGAACGCAGAGGAAGTCTTTAATGACAGAAATTGTCCAAAAATTTGTCCAAACCAAAGAAAGATGAAATGTAATTCCATGCAACAGCACTTTTTAATGTTCTCTTTCCAAAATTAAACTCATCACAACAGGAAGCAGGTTTTTACTTGAAATGAATTGATTCATTTACAGAGAAGTGGAAATTTTTAAAGGCAGTGGTCCAAGGAGAAGACAACACCTACCTTCTTCCTTGGCATCCAAGTCTCTTGCTAACATCCCGCTGCAGGAGCCCTTCCAAAAGGGACTTCAGTTCAGGAGAAAATGAATCTGGTAGCTCCACGTTCTATGAAAAAAAGAAATAAAAAGAGAGACATTTAGTTACAGAAGAAGTGTGATCTGCTGTCCCCACATAGGAGAGTAGCTTTTCTTTGAGAGTCTTTGTAAACAACTCCTCCCTGTGTAAATACAGCTTTCTCATAAAGCAGGCTTTAAAGTTCCGGCTTTTAGAGGAAATGGGAGTTTACTAAACAAGAGGAATGTAACTGCAACTGTCACCAGGACCCTTACCACGGTGAGTGTCATCCGGTCGATCTCATGCTTATCTTTGGTTTTGTGCTGTCTGAAAGGACTGTGACTGTAGAAATAAGAAAATGCACTGGTAAATGTAAAGCCATAACATATCAGGTTATTTCAGCTGTGGCAACCCCAGGAAAGAGCGCAGCATCCTTTTAGTCCCATTATTGCACCTCATCAAGCCTGTCCTGCAGAACAATAAAACAAGTAGTAAAATATTTAGCATTTAAATGATAAATGAGACTTCACACACTAGCATGCTACTGGCTACCTCAAAAATATCAATGTTTGATCTCTTACAACTTTGGTTTCTTTTCTTACTACAGAGAGCTGCACCACTTTGCAAGAAAGTTCATTGTTTCTGTTTTCAGTACAACTGCATGCGGTGCACATCAAAATCAAATTCAGAGAAAAGCAACCATTCAACTTCTTTAAAGACTACACGCAGATATCCCCGCGGATTATCAAACACAGGGAAATCTGATCTAGTTACTCCATTTACAGGCATGCAGAGGGTTAGTTTTGTCTTAAATGCCCTGATCTGTCCTTAAAGACGGTGCTTCAAACGCCTTCCCAATTACATCTGTTCTCCCAAAACCCGGAACAGTTTATCTAACAAGAAAACCCTGAAGAGCTATCACGACACAGATATTTAAAAACATTGATCTATATGCGGAAACTGAGCATGACCTACAGAACTTACCACTCATCTCTATGGGAAGAATGAGGCAAGATCTTAAAGTAAGCAGATGAAACAGAAGATAATCACAGATACCACAACATTAGTGACTGGGAAGAAATTTGATGATATCTGGTAAATTATCATCTTTATCCCTTTCCTGCTTTATAATTCTGAGTTTGAATTTTTCCTTTTAGCTACAGAAGACCTTAGAATATCACAGATTTACCATGAAGTACTTAAACAACAGCATGAAAGCAAGCAGAAACATTTTAGTATGAGATTTTTTAATTAGATTTAGGACATATTCCCTGTTTCTTAGTTTTCTTCAAGACCTCGAGGGAATGACATTTTTCAAAATTAAAATGTTCTTTACTTATCAATACATCGATTAGCTATTATAAAGCATTTTGTCTTGCCACGGGGCAGCGTGTACCAGCCTATTTCAGCTGGGGACCTGCTACTCGAGAGTTATTTCCTTTTTATCCTCAAAAACATTTCTGATGAATGGATGTAATGGACAGAGCAGGACTTTCATTTTTGTTTTTAAGCACGACAGGTAAGAAGGCAGAGTAAATGGCTGACATACAGCCTCATGTACTTTGACAATGAAGCTCTGCGTAGATCAGGGAAGCAAATGATTCACTGGGGACTTATGGGCAGATTTTATGCCAGACTAAATTTACAAAACGCCAAGAAATGGCACCATGTGCCCAACCCTTGTTTTGGTGTGTGAGTTGTTTAATTGGCTTCAGAACAGATGAGGAAGGATAGTTCACAATGAATAATGCTTTGGCTTCTGGCCGACCACCGATCCCACCCCGCACATCTCTGTCAGGAAAAATCACGGCCCCAAAAGACTGAGATCTCCTCACAAGTCCAAGTTTCTGTGGTAAATGGGACTGTCTGCCCCTGGGAGCTAATTGTTTCATCACACAACTTCAATCCTGTGAACGAAGAACCACGCCAGAGTCAGTCGCGTGCCCTAATGCTCTGTGCCCAAGTGACTCAGAAGAAAAAGGGCTCGGAAGAAAAGACGAGGAGATCACAGTGGTCCTGCGTGTGAAAGACACTCTCCTCTCTCCTCCCAGCAACCCCAAACCATTAGGTGTTTTGCTGCCTACAGAATTCCACAATGAGTGTTCAGAGACAGAGTAAGTACTGCTCCCAGTACTGCTCCCAGCTGCATGATGCTGTCCATACTTAAAAATACTTTTTTTTTTTTTTTCCCTTGCAATTTTAACAGCATTTCTGTCTTTATTTCCATGCTTACATTTAGTCTACTTGGTGAAAAATGTTAAATTGATAGAGCTTATACTCAGTTCAGAAGACACACACTTACCTTCTTTTGTACAGTGTCTGGGAAAGGGGTAAGAGCTTATAATTAATTATGTGCAAGGACACAGGATGATTTAACCAATGACTAATCTTTACAGAGAAGCATTCTGAAAAGCTTAGAAGATTTTTTCTGTCTTGCCATTAACACTGAGGATGCTATTTTCAACAAACACTTGCCAATCAGTGCTTACTGACTGTTCAGATAAATCCCACAGTCTTAATAAATTCTACATAGCCACATAAGTTTACTGAGAAGGTAATAGTTGACAAAACTGTAATTATCATATACTTTTGTACACCAATACGGTCACAGGCCAGATTCAGCAAATGGAAGTATCCACGCATTATAACTTACCCAAACACTACAGACGGGAAGACTGAGTATCGTGTGAAAAGGGAACAGTGCAGCAGAGTTTCACCATAACAGCATGTCTTAAGCGCTAAACTGAAGCCCAAATTAAACAGGGCTGCTAGTGTATTTAAGCAATGAATAACATCATATCATTTAAAACACTATCACTTGCCAAGAGATGATTAAATTGCCTACCAGTAGAATTAAAAGAGCAGACAGAGCATCCACCTTCCTCACTGCCCCACACCTGTACCCACTGAAGGAAGCAGGGCTTGGCTTTTGTTTGTTTTGGAAGCAAAAAAGCCTGGTTTAGTCTCACGTGCAGATGTGGTCCAAGTTGCAGAGATGGCAGGAAGATATCATTTTAGGTAATATGTAATACATTACATACCAGTGTTTCAAGCGACAGACGACAAGGCCCAGGCTAAAAAAAACAAAAAGCACACGGGACATAAAACTTTACTCACCCTCTCAGAAGTTTGAAAAGCATGCAGCCTAACGAGAACCAGTCTGCACTGCTATCGTATGCTGTTCCCTTCTGGAGCACCTCTGGAGCCATGTATCCATGGGTACCTCTGCAAAGTGGAAAGGAACAAAATCTTGATTACAACCAAAACTATTGTTTTAAAAAAAAAAAACCAAAACCAAAACAACTCAGTGTTTTCTCAGTAAGATAGCCTAATTTAAAGAGAATTAATTTTAAACATGATTTTATTTTGCTTTTGCTTTGGCTGTACATACACACACATGTTTTCTGTTTGTATATATCTACTGAGGAAATACCTTAAAACATAAACAACAGAACAACAGAGATGATTAGGCAAACTGACGTGCTACAGCAGGATTTAGCAGAATCAATGCAGGGGGCAGCAGGAAGCCTTCTGTCTAAGAGTAGAACACAAAAGAGAGGTGGAAAAGTTGCATACTCTGTCTGCTCAGTTCACAGGAAAGACAGACATCAGGACGCAGTCAGGGCTCCTGCTACGCCAGGCAGATGGCTCCAGCCCTGGGCGATGCGAGACTTTACCCACAGCCCCAGAAACGGGGCGAGCAGAGCTGAATCACGCTCTCTTGATGCACTTCACAAAACTCCTTCCAGCTAGCACCTGTGTGTTCAACAACGGGACACCTCCTCCAGAAGTCACTGCTGGTCACCACTGGAAAGCAGTCACCACGTACTGCTTTTACCCTTGACGTAACTGGAACCTACTAACTTCTTCAAGAAGCTACTGAATTGCAAATCTTTTAAGACATGACAGGACAAAGCTTTCCTTTTCGCATAAATTCTGAGCCTAAATCAGGGCAAAGGAGGACCTAAGAATAAAATGTGTCAGATGAGATGTGGAATCCACACACAATCCAAGAAATTCAGATCCCAGTTATGACCCGTTGCCAAGAGGCAGAAAGGAACACAATTTGCCTCCAGTTCTACAAAGATCCAGAATGAGAAAGACACAATAAATCCTGGTTTTTAGTCAGTTTCAGAATATTTAATTATCCATTTAGGACAATTAAAACAATCTGGTACTTTAACTCAGTCAGGTTCTTATCTTCTCTGAACAGTGAATCATCTCGAAATAATGTGTCATCCTCCAGCCATGCCTACACAGCAGCTGCTACAACTGTGCAGGAAAACAGAAAGAGGAGACTGAAGAACCTTATTAGAGTATCCAGCGTCGCTGTGTCACAAAGCGAACCTATGCCACACAAGTGTTATGTCTTTTCCTTTAGACAAAGTTAAATTATAAAGACACATAAAGGATTTATTTAGAAATAACTGTATATGCAGCAAAGGTCCCATACGTAATACTTACACACTAGCATGTGGCTTCTTTTTGGAAAAATCACAAGCCAGCCCAAGGTCTGATATCCTCACATGCCCGTGTTCATCCAACAAGATATTTGCAGGCTGGAAACCCAGAGACACAGAAAGGTTACCGCTTGGTATTTTTCAGCTGACAGAACTACAAATTCTCAGAACACAGAACTCATTCTCAAACATCAATACTCTCTGGTAATTGGTAATTGCCTTTTTTTTTGTTGTTTTTTTGTTTTTTTTACATCAATGTAACAGACACATTCTAGATAAAATCTACATTCTAGCAGAGCACTACCATCAATTCCAGAGGAGATGATGAAATACTGATGAATAACAGAAGAGAAAATACAGGCAAGGTTTGAAATGGAAAGCACACGAAGGAATAAATCCATTTTGGCCTCAAGTCCACATTGCTTTTGGTTCTTTCACAGAAGGTCTGTGTGGGGCTCTTACTGCCTTTACCTGCCATCTGCACCCCGCACTCCCTGTGCAGACTTTTTTCCCACTTTTATTGTCACGTGGCTCAGGGACGCCTCTCTCGGAGAGGTCCCCAACTGCCCAACCATAACTGAAACACCTCTGAGCAACTGTCTTCCTACTGGTCTCCCATCACACACACTCCACCTTCAGGGTTCTCAGAAATACAGTCTATTCTCTAAACTAATAGCATCACTACGATGGTAAGTGAGATAAATAACACTGCACGGGATTTATTTTGACTGCAAGGAAGCATCTCCCAGGCCAGTCAAACTGGATAATAGCACAGATTAGAACTATGAAGAAGAATAGCCACAGATAAACAAATAATCTCTATTCTTCCCAAGAAAAGGGTTCAGGTAAGGTACTTCATTTAAATTATCAGTATCTCTGGATTGTTTGCTGCTATCTAACAACCACCTGTGTGAATGCAGTCACTACGTTAATGATTACCTTTAGGTCTCTGTATACAACAAAGCGATTGTGCATGTGTTCTAAACCCAGGATGATTTCAGTAGCATAAAACCTCATTTCTTTTTCAGAAAACACTCCGTGCTGGGAGAGGTGGTAGTGCAAATCTCCTCCTAAAATTAGAAGAATTGAGATGCGATTAAAAGAACAGTAAAATCTTGCCTCAAGGGCAGACAGCATGATATGGGGGGAACCAGCATAGCATTTACATGTTCTTATAACCTGCGGAGCACACAGGACCCCGGACACACACTCTGCAAGTACACGCAGTGACAAAATACCCGAAAAAGTTAATAAATACATTTGACCAATCTGAAACTCCACATTTACTTCACAGACATTTGCATTCAGTGACTAATCCAGCAGCAGTCTTCAGGAAAAGGATTTCCACAGCATGGAAAATGCTTTTGTATAGATAGGTTTTTGGAGAACTGAAACAACTAATATCCCTCAAACAGGCCAAAATACTCAAATATTCATGCTGGGGATGTTTTCACACTTTCCTAATCAAAGAGCAGGCACAACACAATGTCCCTCTGTGAGCCAGTCCACACCATCAACATATCAAATAGTGAACACTCATGGGAAACTGTTTCCGATTGAGCCACAGATTTCAAATAATCAACCAGTTACTTGAATTTGAGCTACAGCTTAGATTTAATGAGAAACTTCACTCACAAAACACCAAAGCCAGTCTCTATTACTTCCAGAATATGAGCTCTATTTCTCAACGAAATTTCCAGCTTTGCAACACGGTACGTGCAGATGCGTCCAACACCTTTAGGTGCTCACCGCGGGACCACAGCCAGGGTGGGAGTCGAAGTCCCACAAGAGCTGAGCATCCTCAGCAAATAAGAGCACTGCAGTACCTTCTCTCTCTGAACTCTGCCAATTTCTCTCTGTGTGTTCTCACAAGAGTTACGCTAAGGCTTCTAGGTTTAATTTCTTTCTGTTGAGGAATGCTTCCCCCATCTCTTTTCTTTGCAGAGCTCGTTATAGTAGCCTTTTTATTTTTATTTTGAAAGGTGTGTCCCTGATCTCCTCACACCTTTTTCCACATGACCATCATTTTCCTAAGCTTCCAGCCTAGCAGGCCCTTCGATATCTTTATTTAAATATGTCAATGTTATAGAGTATCAGAGGTTTTTCTGTCTGTTCTGTACATTCCCTGCTTTAGAACAATTTACCCCTCCTGCTCGCAGGCCGATGCTTCACACCTCGGTTTATTTTTCCCTCATTGCCCTCATGATCTCAGCAAGTCCTCCTGCCAATACTGCTGTAATGCTATCACCATCTGCGTGAGTCTTGCTTACCATTCATCAGGTCCAGAATGAAACAGAGTTTGTCAGGGGTGTGGAAGGCATAGGTCATACACACTATAAAAGGACAGTCCTAGAAGGAAAGGAGCAAAGAGTTCATCTCGGGCAATAAGCAAAGTACTGCTTAGAGAAGCTAAAAATACATGCCATATTTTTCCTATGGTATTTGCCAATATCCGTAGTAATTTTCGAAAGCAATTTGTGTAGATTAGTACATATAAACACATTAGTACTAATCTACATACTCTGATGTTTCACTTACAGTTTAGAGATCTTAGATTTTGCTGTCTCACTTCAATACAAAAACTAAAAAAGCTATGAGGAGCCAAAGGCTTAAAACCTGCAGGCAGCACCACTATCTTCTACAGACTTGCAACTACAGCAGCCAGAAATATTTTAAAGATATTTACGTGAGTTTGCACTAGACTTCCATGAAAGATACATTAAAGCTAACAAGCTTTAGGCCAGCTCAGAAAAAAATAAAGCTGTTCTCATGAAATGTAAAGGATACGCACTATTTCCCATGATTGCATGGCGAACGTTCAGCTGTCGGAACACTGACTGAGAACCTGAGTTGCGTCACGTACAAAACCCCAGGGGGAAAGAAAGTTTTATCCTCACCTATATACTAAATGCAGCTACAGCGGTGACACCCTGTCCCCACTGCCGAGCTCCTCAGCAGAGCTGCACCAAGGTGACAGCAAGGTGTCCTGCCACCCCCTGCCACCCCCCAGCCCACCAGCAGCATTGGTGAGCGATGATTAAAAGGAACATAAACACACGGGGAAGGCAGTGCTGACTCCAACGCGTACACCATGCACGGGAAGCATGAGCAGAACAGTCTGGATTATGCAAAAAAACAGAAAACAAGTATGGTGGGCACAGGTTTCCGAATGTCACCGCTCAGCAGCCAGGCACGGGAGGGGGTTACATGGGTTACATCCCCACCTCTTGGTGTGCTTTAAGCTGAATTCACACAGATGTTTAAGCCAAGCAGCTATAGAATCATAGAATTATAGAATCATGGAACGGTTTGGGTTGGAAGGGACCTTAAAGACCATCTCATTCCACCCCCCTGCCCTTGTCAGGGCCACCTCCCCCCAGCCCAGGTTGCTCCAAGCCCCGTCCAACCTGGCCTTGAACACCTCCAGGGATGGGGCAGCCACAGCTTCTCGGGGCAACCTGTTCCTCTGTCTCACCACCCCCAGTGTGACAAATTTCTTCCTCATATCTCATCTCAATCTCCCCTCTTGCAGTTTGAAGCCATTCCCCCTCGTCCTATCACTCCATGCCCTTGTAAAAAGTCCCTCCCCAGCTCTCCTGTACGCCTGTAAAAAAAGCACAGCTGGAAAACCACCTCCTTTAGTGCCAACGATCTGCTCAGCGTGCCGGTACCTCTGCAATGAGCTGAAAGATGCCACGGCAGAAAGATGGCAGACCCTCCTCTCTTCATTATGCCCATCAGTAGCTAATTAATAGGGGGTGGCTATTACTTCGTCGACCCCTTCTCCGAAGCCGTGTGACCCGCGGGCTGCTCGGTCGGCGCAGGAGGGACGCCGGGGGAGGGCCCGCGCTGCGGCAGCAGAGGGGCCTGCAGGGCC